AGTCAGGCTTGTGGAAAGACGAGGAAGGCTTGCACTGCGTGGCCCCAGAAGAGGCAGAAATAGAATCCGTGGGCGGCAACTGCAGGGAGGAATGCTGGGGTCAATATAAAGATTCTTTCAACCACTAGGGTTGTCTATCCACGTAATGGGGTGTCAGGAGGCGGTGGGCAACTTGTAGGTGTGCACACAGGGGCTGGGTTCATTTAACAAACGGACCGCTGGCTGTGCACCAGACACTATACTAGGATTTACTAAATTATAGGTATAGCGTTGAGCACAATGGCTGCCAGTTAGTGTTGTCCAAGTTATTATGAGCACTAGTGAAGAAATGATCACCGACCTCTTGAACTTAATTCTCAAATGCAGAAGGTAGATATTAATCAGCTATCATATCTAAATAAATACGTAGCTAAAATTACGGTGAGCTCACCGTTAACTATTTTGAAGAGAACAAAGCGAAGATCTTTGGGGCAAAGTGAATGGAAGAGGAAGGGCAAGGCCTGTATGGTCTCAACTGGGGCGAGCCAGGGCAGAGAAGCTTGCTCTTTAGGCAAATGGAAGATGTCCAGTTTCTGATGCCTGTTGTGTCAAAGGTAGAACTGTGTAAAAGAAGTTAGACATGGTATTCTGCACTGAGTAGGCCTCAATTAAAGTGTTTTAAGTTTTATGCAAAAGCAAGCTATTGAGGGGAAAGGATAAGAGTTGATTTGATACCCTTTTTTAAAAAAAGTATGTGAGTTACTATATGGAGCATATATAAACATCTGAGTGGTAGCCAGAAGATTGGTTAAGACTTGTACTGAAGAAATGGTAATAGAGAGAAATGGATTTGAAATACATTTTTGAGGTTGAGTCATTTGGCTTGATGTGGGAAATGAGGGAGAATCCCAATTTCTGGCTTAAGCTAGTGACTGGGCCCAAAGAGGTGTTGTTTACTGAAATGGTAACTACTGAAAGGAGAGCATTTAAAGGTGGGAGATGAAGAATTCCATCTTAAACTAAATTTAAGATGTCTGTGTGATCCAAAAGAAGCCATCAAAAAGATGGCACAGAAACCTAACCTGAAGCTTTGAAAAAGAAGTTACTGCACCAGGACTGGACATTTGGTAGTGGCCCTGATGAGGTATACGCAGTTGCTGAGGTGAGAAAATGTATTTCTGCAACAGTGTTGTACACAGCTAGCTTAATTAAAAAAAACAAAATCATCACATGGATTAACATGAAGTTACTCACCCCTGAATTCCAGTATTTTGCTATAAGTCATGTAATGATGATCATGTATTCAGCAAACTACAGATATATCTTTATTGCAGCATCAAATTCGACAAATTTTTCACTGAACCCTAACAGGTTACCCTTATTGATAGTCATTACTGGTTAAATATGTCAAAACTTACTCATGTATCTGTGAGAAGGCCTATTGAGTCTTCTATGTAAAGTGTTATCAGTACCATTTTGAAAATTTTTATAAATCAGAGCAAGAAAAATTATGCAGCAGAATCAAGTTTGTAATAGCTGACTCCATGGGATGTGCTCCCATCCTATAGATTTGTCAGTTTTGGGTTCTATATAATGTATTCTGTAACAGTATATCCCATGTTTTATTACTGAATGATGAATTTGCTATTATAATAATTCTGGGTGAGGCCCAAGCTACACATAACTCTCCTTTATAAATGGAAAAGCAAACCTAAATATACCCCCTAAGTTTAAAATCAATCATTTATTTTAAACAAAGACACAAAGCTGAACACACAGATCTAACAGAAAGACCACTGACTTAGGTAAGGGTTAGATCACTACAGGGGTTATATATATTACTACATGGAGCTCAGTAATTTTTCTAGTTATTGATGATTGGCAAAGCTATGGCATGTGTCATCCTTTGAAAAGTATCCCACTGTATGAAGCTGGCAATCTAGACAATGTCTGTCAATAAGCAATTAAAAGCCTGAGTTTCTGGATTTGGATCAGCCAATGTTGGTTGTTTTGACAGTTCCTAAAACAGACAAGTCTTTCAATAGTATAGCAACAGCTTTCTATAAGAGTATACTACCTTTCCCATTTAGTGGTGCAGGCATCACACTATAGGAATTTTGGTTTTATACACAAGTACTTAAACAGAAACATTACTTATAAACTATAGGTGAATCCTTTTTTTCTTGCCTCATCACTCCTGTATCCACCCATCTACTGTCTATTGATTTTCCTTCTTCATTAGAGAGGGCACTTAATCTTTGTATCCTAATGAGATTGTTATTTATTGGTAGCTGAACAAGTAAACATACTACACCTTAACTATCTTGCTTTATAGAAAAGTGAGATTCAGAGTGATTTATTCAGGGTCACGTAGTAGAGTCTGTCATACTTGTTGATCAGGAACTGAACTCTTCTTGTATTTGGGGATTCCCAGTCTAATGAGCATATCAGAAATCAGAGTAACACAGAGATTGAAGTCCCAGATCACATGACCTCAACTCTACAAATTAAATTATCCCCACATTTTGTACTGGGGGCCAGAGTTAAAGAAATTCTTTTTAATGATCATGTCAAGTGCAGCAAATGAAGTTCTTAGGTCACACTGGCTGTCCTGACAGTGGCAGGGTTCAGAGTGCTGTACCTGTGACTTTGGTCAAGTAAATAGCATATCTGAGCCTCAGCAGAGATGATGTCCTCACTGCACCACTTGTGTAGAGTAACCAGGGGACAAATGGTGATATTCCAATTGCCTGATTTCCAAAACTGGTTATATAGGCTCCAAGTGATACTGAACAACTAGAATCCTTTTAATTTATTTTTCTCCCTAAGTCAACCAAAATTGGATTTTGGTATTTGCAACTAAAATATGACTCATCTAATCAGAGAATAGAGCTGAAGCTGTAAGCCATTAGTGCTCAGTATAAACACTAACTCTAGTGCTCCTCCCGAACAGATCAGATTTCTACTTTCCAGCAGATTACATACTGATAAATCACCTGTTGTTCACCAAATTTATACTTTATCAGCTGATTAATAAACATTTCAAGCGCCTTTTGGTGAGGCAGATGCCAGCAGCACATATAATTTTAAATGCAGCAGAATCATTGTCTATACAATGACAATGGTTGATGTAATAGTAACTTTTATCCTGTATAGATATAAGCATAAAATGAAAATATTATTGCCAATGGGACTGAGAAAGAGAAAAATTATCAAACACACTTAAGCAGGTCTTCAGCATGAGTAGAACACTTATTGGAATCAAGGCAGGTGTGTTTAATTTAGGAAGAAAAGCAAATTTAAGGATATTTCCTAACACTGAAAATATCTCACCAGGTATTGTTTAAACACAAAATGAACAAGTGAATTTGTAAAGTTGTTACCTCAGTAACAAGTCTACTCAATTTATATATATATATATATATATATATATATATATATATATATATATATATATGATTTCCATAGTTTGGTGAACTTGAATAAAGTAGGAAAATGAAATAGGAAACCTGTAGTAGTGGGTGCATGTGAGTCAGCAATAACTATTCAATCTACTCTATTGATGTCCATGTGTAGAGGAAAGGAAAGACCTGGGGATTTTGGAACATACTATCATAAAGCTGATTTACAATTGGTTAGGTGAAATAAAACCACTCAGGTGGGTCTTATGTAGTTGATGGTTGGAATTGCAATATATATACTAGCCAGCAGAGGTCAGAATAGTATCTCTTAAAACTCAAGTATGAAAATTCTGAATTAAGGACCAACTTTCAAAAGAAAAATGATAGGCTCAGTTGTGGATCTGCTCAGCTGAATGTTTCTGTGAGATGGAGTTGTTGCATGGACATCTTGGTATATTAGCTTGAGATAAACACTGGGAGTTCCCTCTGGACAGATGATAAATTAGAACCATGGTTATTTCTGAGAAAGTAGAGATAATCCTAGATTGGCATGTGGTTCAAGAACCAATCTCTCACACACACACACCGAATGATCATATAGTAAGTGAATAATCAAGTTTATAAACAGTGGCGGGACAGGTAAAGGATTTACCCGAGTTATGCAGAGGATTAGTCTGTATTAACAGGAAGAGGAGGAAGATATACTATAAAAATAGCCTTCTATTGCTGTAGCAACAAATTAGTACCAACTTTGTGGCTTAAAACAACACAAACTTATCTTACAGTCTTGGAGTCAGAAGTTTAAAATGGGCCTTATTTAAGGCACTAAATTCGGGGATCAGCATACATTTTCCTTCCAGAGACTCAGGGAGAATCCATGCCTCCCCTTTACCAGATTCTGAAACAAAGGGACTGTCCACATTCTGTGGCTTGTAGCCACTTCAATTTCATTTTCTATTGTGACATGTTCATGGTCTCTGAACCTTCTTCCTTTCTCCTTCTTACAACAATCTTTGTGACTATTTGGACCTACTCAAATAGTTTAATTCCATACTTGTCTTCCTTGAGTCATTTTTTCCCTTTGTACACTCATCTGAATTAACTTGTATTTTTATTTATCCCCTTGACCTCTTGGTCAAAGCTAATTCTCACATGCATCCAGTGTTGTTTTAAGTAGGAAACTCAACTCCCCACCTTGATCATTGACACCTTGATCAATGCCTGACCCTCCCTTCTCTACCTTCCCCCCCAAGATAACCCAACTAATCCTTCAGTTCTTTGATGTAATTTCAGAAATGCAGTCTTTGATCATTCAGCAAGAGTAAAGGTTAGGTCATATTTTGTTAATTCATTC